CACTTTCTCATGCTAGAAAACTGTAAATCTTTTATTCCTTCCTCAAAAGGCTCATTTACAAATATTTAGTCTTTCCTACCAATTCCTTCTAGTCTGTGTCTTCCTAATAATTTTAAACCAAAAGAAAGCAAAATGGACACCATGGAGAATTTTTCCAGTAATAAGCGGGAAGAGTGGCTCACACACTCCTAACAGTTGGCATCTGAGCAATTAAGATCCAGATATCTCAGGAATGGTTCCTCCAATCCATGACATACATTAAAATACAGCAAAATAAAATTGCTTTTATTACCACTGCTAATTCTCACCATATTTTCCAAGTTATATAGCCTGTTTCAGATTAGTTGTTCTATAAATTGAAGATAATTAAATTGACTTCTATTGGAGGGAGCTTGTAAAAGTTAAATGTGATATTATATAGCCAATGGTTTGCCACAAAGCCTGCAACTTGGCAGTTGCTAACTATGTTAGGCCTCCTTCCTCATACAAGAATACTTGAAGAAAGTGGTACCACATGATTTTCTTAGAATTGGTATTGAGATGAAGGAAGGTGATCAATGTTTTCTCTCACCTGAAATTTCTGACCCATTCTGACATTCTAGTCCAATTAGGCTGTTAGAGTCTCAAGGACTTGCAACTTAAATGTCATGCTTCTGTTTAAATAGGCTAAGCCATGGTAATTATTTAGTTCTGCCATCTTGATAAGAGATACTGAAACATAGCTTTTGGGGTAGAAATGTTGCCTGGTTACTTTTATATCTCCATTTCCTTTCTGAAAATGCTAAACATATGTTTTATTAACTTGAATTCGTTATTTAAAATGGTGATTTTAGCACTTGTACCTTAACACAAACTACAAGCTAATTATATTATTTTAGATAAAAACTTACAGAGTAAGTGGATATGTCACTGGACTGGTATTTTAGACATTTTTAAAAAATTCTATAATTTTCACGAGACTATAATGTCTCAAATTCAGAGTAAATAAGACCCTCATGATATCCCTCACAAAATGCCACTAAGTGATTTATTTTTGAGGCACAGAGAATGGCCCCAGTGAACACGAAGACCTCAGTAGCTGAGTATACAGGCAGGTGGGAACAGGATTGGTAGGTAGATTCCTTTTCCTATGACAGCTATTTTTCCTTCTTCACAGTTTGGAGCAACAAAGTATGTAAGAAGCACATTTGACTCTTATGAGATGTCAGATGGGAGCACAGCTGTTTAATTATCTGCATTCAACTAGACTTCATTCTTCTCTGTTGTTCCTTTCAATTTTTTTTTAATAGTTAAGGATAGATGTGACAAAATGAGTGCATGTTTTTATATTGTGTTTATAAATAAAAACTCATATAGAGGAATCCATGTGTTTAACAGTGACCAGAACAACTCTGGAGCTCCAAATTGCAGTACACCCATCCCTCAGTATGCTGAGGAATCACTCTCCACTTTAACTACTCCTCTGTTTGTCAAACCTATTAATTGCATTTATACTCTGTCTGCGTCAGTGGTCATTACTCATTAACTTCTCTGCCCAAACCAGTGTGTCAACTTAAGGTTTTATTATGACAGTGAAGGACTCCACAGAATCTATGCAACAGATCATGAAGACAGATCATGTTGAGCTGAATATCACCCACAGCTATTCCCTCAATAGAGTAAGCAGTAGGGGAAAAATAGGAAAAAAAAATCTATGAGGAAGGAAGGTTTGGAAAACACAAAGGAAGCAAACATTTATAAGTACTTTGCCTTTGAAAATTCCTCAAAGACCTTTCGATCCTCTGGCCTCTAACTACATGCTTTGATTTCAAGGGCATAAAATTGTTGATGCCATTTCTGAGGAAATGGTGAAGACTGAGAGATCCTCTTTTACCTTCTTTCATTATTACAATCTCCTGCATTTTTATCAAACTAATTTCATTATGGGAAGAATAGAGGCTCTTGGTCAGTGGATAAAATGCAATTCATTTTAAGACTCTGTGAAATAAAGCCATATTAGTGAAAGCCCTGGGTGGGAGGAGAGGTAGCTGGGACTGTTCAGATTAGCCAGTGGCAAAAAGGAAGCAGTATAAACCAGGAGGTGTGGAGGTTGGCATTATGAAGAGAGGGTGTCAAGGACCACCTCTGAAAATGGAGAGGTAACAAACCAAGCGGAGTGGACAAAGATAAACTTAAGCAATTTAACCACTTAATATGGGGTTGCTTTGCATGTTGGGAGGAAAATCAGAGGGAGAAGCAGTTTGGAATGCTGTGATATTAACTAAATTATAACAGTGCTAGAAAAGTAATTGAAAAACCAAAACAATCTTATCACTGAATTTATGTCAATTCATTGTTTTATCTGCGTAGATAGAGAAAGACCCATTCATGATTCCAAATATTGTATCTGAGGTAGGTAAGAAAAGTATGAACACCCAGGGGTGGGTAATGTGACAAGACAAGCTTTTAGCCAAGAAAGTAAAGTGGACATCAAATTATAAGCCTTAAATTGCTCTTCTCAGTGGCATATTTTGACTTGTGACTCTTGTAAGCTCCCCAAACATTTTCAGGACTTTACTATGTGTGTCAATAGAGCAAAAGCTTATGATTTCACTGAAGGCTTAGTAATGCAGCCTTGAGATTAAAGCAGTGCCCATGAAGCCTGAAGAGACTAGCAAACTGTGTTGGTTTATTCAAGGGTTTCCAGTTTCTTTTAACTTTCCGTTTAGTCTGAGATAAGCACAGATAAAGAGACAGACTAACAGACAAACTCTTCAGTAGAAGCGATAGATAATCTAGTGGTTAATACTTAAAGAAATTTGTATCAGGCTGTTTGAGTGTGAATTCCAGCTCTGCTGCTTACTTGCTGGGTAAGCTTGGGCAAGATCCCTCAATTCTCCCGCCTTAGTTTCCTAATCTTCCAAACAGAGAGTATAGAATCTATCTCACAGAGCTGTTGTGAGGATTAAATGTGGTAATGCACACACAGAGTTTAAAATGGCATCAGGTAAATGGTAAGTGATCAATAAATGTTAATTGTTTTATATTTAAATACTTTAATTGGATAAAAGGCAGTAGAACTACATTGCATTTCTCTATTCGTGCTGTTTAGAGCAGTAAATTTCCTTGTATGATTTTCTCCCAGAATTTCTCCAGGAGAGTCCTAAATTGATCCAACCCTGAGAATTTCCAGCCTTCTTAAGAATGGAATCAGGGCCTCCAGTGGCATGAAGGACAGGGGCTCCCTGTACAGTGTTCACATTTGTCCAAACTTTATTGGCCCTCTTAGCTTTATACAGAGAATATACAGAACTATTTCTCAATCATAGCCCCAAGTTTTTTACATTTAATGTATTAAGAAAATGCTAAATATTTCTTGTTAATTCTCTGCATATTTTTTGTATGCTTTTTTTCAAAATAGTGTAGTGTAGACTTAGCTTTGCCTGTGTTTTTAGGGTGTTAGCTTCCCAGAACGTAAAATTTGGCCCTCTCTAGAGCCATGTCTCCTTCAAGGATTGCCCGTGCTCTCACCTTTTAATGTATCCTTAGAATTAAAATGTTACAATTTATGTCATATTAGAAAAAATGACCAGATTAGCCTAAAAAATTTATAGAATTAGGTTTGTTACAGCTTTAGGGATGTCATTTTGACTTTAAACAGCTCATAAATGAGATGCCAGTCTATTTTTGAGAACTTCTAAAGAAGGAGATTTCTAAATCTCCACTGGTGGCAGCTTTACAGTGGTTTAAGGACCATCTGACAATGATTCCTAGAGGGATAAGAAAACTTCTGAGTGCCAGACACCAGTTCAGTCGCAAGTACCTCCAAACCTGACTCACCAATACTGGAGCTGGGAGGTGGAGGACAGGGTGGGCCATGGTGATGAATTCCTATTCTGAAATCACCACACTAGCTAAAACCAGCCAACTTTAAGAAAGTCTCACTATTTTGAACATGATAGTTTAGACTTGCTATCAATATTGATCAGACATATTAATTTTAATTGAAATTGATGATTTTTTTTCTAGAGTTTAAAAAGTAAACTCACTTGACTAAATTGTTCCAAAAATGCCTGTCAGAGGTTTATAACTACCACTGAGGAGTAAGATAGCCACTGATGTGAAATCATACTGTTTTGAATAAGACATAGTTTTGGATTGCATGGTGTGGCACAGATGATTAGCTGTCCACTGACATCCATTTTTTTCTTAGGGACACAACTAGACTACATTTCCCAGACTCTCCCATAGTTAGGTGAACCATGAGATTGAGTTCTACTGGAATGTGAGCAGAAGTGAGGTTTGCCATTACTGGAGTGCAGGTTCTAAAAGAGCAGCTATGCCTCTTCCATGTTCTTTTTCCCTTTCTGCTGAAGGGAAAGAAGTCTACCAGTTCCAGAGTAACCTTTGAAGTTCCATGCTGAAGATGGCAGAACTTCTGCCAGCCAGGTTTTCCAAATGACTGCATATAGAAGCAGTACACCTCTGCAACAAGAATCTTGCCTTTGGCTGATATACGAGTGAGGAATAAGTTTATACTATACTTAAGCCAGGACATGTTTGGGTATTTTTATTATAGCACTTCAGCAAATCCAACTACTATATATGCCATATTTTAAAGTTATACACTCTTACCAAAATCACTTGGGAGCAGAGATACCTTAACTTAACTTTAGGTACTTTTACTTTGTCAAAGGTGCTTTCATATCCAATATTGCTTAGGCATCCCAACCTTTGAATAACAGTCACTGTTGAAAAATATATATACATTTTTAAAAAATAGTACTGCAGTAAGATAACTTAAAATGCCACAATTTAAAATAATGGAAATAAACATAAGGGTTCAAGATTTTGATATTATGCAATAGAAAATTCAACAGAACCATAAAAAAACAAACAAAAAAGTTAAGAATGTCTCAATTTCAAACTTGAGTAGGTAATAAGTATATTTTGAAGATTTACTTTTGTGGTCCAAATTACCAATAAGAAAATGTTGCTGTGAACATAATAATTGTTCTTACCTGCTAAAGAGGACATGTTGATAATGATGCCACCTTCGCCTCCATTTTGCTTACTCATGTAATCCAAACCAAGGTAGGTTCCACTGATAACAGAAACCTATTCCAGAGGCATAAGTAGAAAAAGCAACAGCCATTATTCTTTATCATATATTCATACACCAAGTTTTTATTAATACTCCAGGCACCTAGGGAGATTTCCTTGAATATTACCAATGAAAGGGTTTGAAAGGGTTCTCTCTCTCTTTTTTTTTTTAAAGTTAGTCATTGACCATGGATTTTTCTTTTGTTTGCCTAAAAGTTGTGGAAATTATCATATCTCTGCAAAACTTCACTTCACTCAGTTGTCCAACATGAGATTTTTATGATACAGGTTGGTTTCCAATAGTGTTTTGTCACTTTAACTTGATTCTCAGCATCATCAGGAATTCTATACATTCTTTTTCTTCTCTAAATATTGGATATAAAATCTGTTTATCCTTCTTAGCATACAGTTTTCATGTCCAACTATTCTACATTCATCTGCTCTGTTTAATTCTCTTGGATCTTGGAATGTAGAATAGTGGATACCCTTGATTTCCCTTGATTTACCTAGTTTTCATTTTCTCCTTCTTTCTTTCTAATAAAAATTCTATTTTGCTTTTGTATCTACCTCTTCTCCATGTAATACAGAGGTAGGTAAACCTCCAGGTGTAGTGTAGACACTGATTAATTCAGTCATGGCAATCCCATTCTCCTTAAAGTGACTGGTTTAGGAGCCAGCATGGGCCCCAGTTATGGCCAGTGAGACCTGAGGGACAATCATCTGGAGTTGGGGGCAGGGGACAGGATGCTGCTGGGAATTTTTTTGTTGCTCTTAAAAAAAAACAGGAAGAAATGGTTACATTACCCCCTTTACATTGCTTTTTATGGGTGCTGTGACTGGAATGCAGAGTCATATTGCTGGCATCCTGAAGATGAAACCACCATGAAAAATGGCAGGTGGGGGAGAAGAGAAGACACTGGGTCCTGATGATATCACTGATCTGCAGTATCAAGCCATGCTGAACTCTGTGTTGTGTGAAATTATGTAACTGTTTTATCCAATTGAATGAGAATTTTCTGTTCCTTCGGTAATCTCTGTCACTTAATTTTACTCCTCAGTGCCTATAACTGTCCTTTTGCTAGTTTATTGTTTTGCTACTTACCTCCATGTGTAGGTTTTTGCTGTTTTTATGCTAACATTTAAGAATTCAGCACTACCAGAAACAACCTGTGAAATTAAACTCGTAGTTGCAATCTTACTTTTCCTTTTGGATTTAAGAACTCCTCTCCCTTCCAGCTTAGACTTTTAAAAAGTGAAAATTCCCATTTGATTTCTTAATTCCTACTTTTTTTCATGCCTTACAATACTGCAAAGAGAATGATACATTAGGTAATGAGTATGAAACTAAGAGCACATATTGGTGTTTACCTTCTTTTTATTTTAAAATGTCCTTTTGAGGTTTTCTTGACAAACATTCAGAGATGCCTCTCCTACCTAACAGTAGTTCTAGAACAAAAAAGCAAGTCGAAGATTCTATTCACTTAAGCCATGTGTCAGTTTGATATTAAGTAGGCTTAGGGAGAATGAATAAAATCACCACATGATTCCTTTTAAAAAGGAAAAACAAAACACTAACTGTTTATATAAGAGGTAAAAAATGTAGATGGCTGGAATTACTGAAGTCAGTTAGATTCTGTTAGCTTCTGCCCAAGTCTCCAGCATGTCTGAACAGAATTTCCGCTTATGCATATTGACACTATACTTTTATTCTCAGGTATTTACAGCTTTGCTGACACCCCGCTTCTATGTTTTCAACATCGATAAGATGCAGCCAGACAGAAAATTTGGGAATGTTTAGCTTTATTTTTAATTCTTTTAAAAAGCAAGATTTATTTCTAGATCTTTGGTGGAGGACAGTAAGAGGTTATTTTTCTCATCCAGTATCAGGTTAGGAACTGAGTAACTTTTCAAACAAGTTGTTTCATAGGTATGACTCTACAAAATAAGGTCTAATGTTTTGGTTGTGCATAAATGACATTTTTCTCCTCTTTCTAATTCCAAATCATATACATATATAAGAGGAATTGTTAGAAAACCATAGAATAAAATGTTTCTTGTTAATATTCTAAATCTTTTTTGTCCTTAGCAATGCTTACATATTGTAGATTGGGTCATTATGATATTAAGCATTTAGGAAAAAAATGAGAAGTACGGACATTTCTAGATACAAACAACAAATAGTTGAAATCTATATTATTTTAGCCCATTATGTGAAGGTATAATTTTATTTCATCCCATTTGGTTCACTCTCAAAGAAAAGAAACTTCTATGTCTAATTGCACAGAGAATTGAAAAAATCCCATTTTGACAAAATGATCTAATTAGCACATGCTTACTCAATATTTTTGGTTATGAAGAGACAACTTTTATACGTAATACTGAAATTATAATTGTGTTGTATTCAAATTTCAATTTTTTTTTTCACTAATTAAAGCATTCTGTAACTTAAAACCACTTTACTAAATTCCCCTACACTGGGAATAATCGTCTAAAAAGAGACTCAGACAAATGGTAATAGCCCACTTGTTTAACTCTCTTCTTATCAGGTATCACATCTTATAGCACAAGAGGGCACACACACACACACACACACACACACACACACACACACACACACACGCTTTCACTACTGAAATTTCTAATCTGTCATTTCTCCATTTCCCTTATCTCATCTTCCTCCACTCTGGGGCTGCTCTTAGTTTATTTATAGTTCTTGTAGTACACTGTATTTTTTTTTTTAATTCTGGCATATAAATCATGCAACTATGCTTTTCAGGATCCTGTGTTTTCTCCAGCTCTTTTCAAAGAATACCAATACAGCTGACCACTTTTTTTGAAATCCCTTTTTATACTTTATTTTTTCATGTTCAAAAATTTTCCATTTTTGTGTGTTTTACGGTAAATATTATCCTCCCCTTTGCAAGAGCTATTTATAATTTAGCAAACTCTGCCTAACTCTACACAGCTCAACTGACTCTTTAGATATTATAGAGTAGCAATGGCACCAAGAAAAGACAGCATAGATGACAACAATGTTTCTATCCATTTCCTCAACTCTTCATTACAGGTAGAATAGGTCAGAGGAACCCACCTCATTAAAAAAATGAGATAGTAAGAAAATGTAGGTTTTGATACTCTGGAAGGGGAATGTAACTTACTGAGTGAATTCTATTTGATAGCACTGTGCTGGACGCTTCACATAAATTATAGCTTATTTAGATTTAACAGTCCTTAGAGGTAGAGAGTTTACCTCCCCCCTTTCACAAACTGCAAAAGTTAAGATCAGAGAAATTAAATAACAGTTCATAAATTGTAGATTCAGGACTGAACTCTAATTTTGACTAATTCCAAATGCACATCTTTACCAGTGCAATCTTTGTCAACTAGTATATTTCTGAAAAGAAAAGAAAAGAAAAGAAAATACCAGCAATAGCCATTTATTTTGCTTAATTTTTATTTGAATATACTAAAGGATTTAATATATGTTAGATATATGTCCAAATTAGATTACAGATTCCATCTCAATGGGGAAGAATTATTTAGGTTTATTAATGCTTCAAAAAGTTAAAGAAGTACATTACAAAATTACCTTATCAGCATTCATAGTTAATGTTCTGCTCAATTGCCACAGTGACCTTTGATAGTTTTGCAAAGACTTATTCTTTTCTGAACATTCCTTGTGAGCTCGGAGCAGCTATAAATAATGCTGCTGCCGTTGGCTGCAGAATGAAGAGGAAGCATAGCACAGCCTGATGGAAACAAAAGCCTGGGAAGATGTTCAGTGTATCTCTTGTGTGAGAATAGTGATGAGACCAGCAGAATGAAGAATAAGGAAGGAGTAAGCTTGGTTAGGAGTAAGAGTGGAAGAATAGACAATACTGTTTGGCAGCACTTATGTATTAGAAAATTATCTAAACATTGGACTAAAACAAAAATGAATACCCATGTATTCAAAATATCATATAATGGCAGTCTATCCAATAAATATTAATTACCCTCTACTCCGTAAGGATGCAAACCAATAGTTTTCTGCCTTGAAAAAACTTACAGATTACTAGCATAAATCATGTATGTATAAAAATAATTATACTAGAATTGAAAAACTGGTAAGCCCTGTAAGGATGGTATATATATGTTGTATAAGATTTCAGAAGAAAGAGATTTGTGGTGAAAGTGGCTACCCTTGACACAGGCAGGAACACAGAAAAACCACACAACATACTAAAGGGCAAACATGGAACTGTATAAAACCTAAGGAGGAAAATTACATCCAGAGCATAGTCTAAAAAAAGAAAATTACATAAATCACACAAATATTTGCATTACTCTAACAGAGATAATCAAGTTGGAAGGACAATGATTGGTCAGACTAATCTATCCTTGCAATGGGTGTAGGTGGAAAAGGGAAGTAAAATATTTTTTAGTTACATATGGGTAACAAAGGTTATGTCTAGTTCTCTTTATGTAAAAGAAGACAAATGTCATCAGCCCCTAATGTTAAGCTAAGAAGTGGCCTATGTCAGCAGAGTACCAAGAAAAATAAAGGCTGGATAAGTTTCAATGGGGAAGGATCCAGGGGAGCTAGCTGTAACAAAGGGGTCCACAATAAAATCCCCTTGTCTTCCAGAATTTCCTATTTGTACATGATGTAGGTACTTTTCAGCTTGGAGCAAGTGTTTATTCACACAGGCAAACATGCCCTATCAGCTAGATGAAGACAGGTTGTTCTAACACTGTATCTTTGTAATAATTGCCTCACTATTTTCATGTTTCTTGATATTAACTGTAATCATTGCACACTGTTTCTAACAGCTGATTTCTCAGAGAAAAGACACAGTACACATTTATTGTGAATTCATCTGATATAAGAACTTTATACCCTAGTGACCTTTATCTATAAAAATATCTGTAGAGATTACTGATGAAACTATTAAAAATATCAGTAGAAATGTGAAAGGAAGAAAGCTGCTGTGCAATTTGTGCTTTTTCACTGGGATAGCCTGATTCAGAAACATTCTTACTGTTTTATGGAGTTGTCCTTTAAAAACATATTCTACATGTCTATAAAAACATATTCTTAAATATTCATGCAGTTCTCAATTGGCTGCATATTCAAAATTTTTCTTTTATCGGGCAACCAAAAGATGTAATAAACTATGGTCCTTAATAAGTCACTGATAACGACTGAAGAATAAATATAAAATGTACAACTTTCTTACCAGCAGAAAATTAAAGCTATCCAATGGATTTAGGTAAAAAAAATGGGGAAAAAACCCAGTAAATATTAAAGTATAAAATAGAACAGCAAAAATAAGTATAAATGGCTCAAATTCACAAATATAAAATAAGCAAATGTTCCCATATGTGATTTTTAAAATAAGATCTCACAATATACATTTGTCAAGAGACAAATTTAACATAAAAGGTTACTCACATTTTCAGAGAAAAGGAATGGAAAAAGATATAGCTGGATAAATGTGAACCAAATGAAAACAATGGGTACCAATTTTATATCTGGAAATGAAAACATCACAGGAAGCAAACAGGGGCATACCTTTTTGAAAAAGTAAATCAAAGATCAATAAATTATAATTACCAGCAACTTATGCTGTGAATATTATAGGCTTATAAAGTAGAGTCCAAACTTACAGAATTACTGGATGAGGTAGGCAGAGTGACATTTTTCATTTGAGATATAAACAAACTTCTGTTCAGAAACTGACAGATCAAGGAGATAAAAGTAAGCCGAGGTGTAATTGACACCCAAACCAAATAGGAACATTATAAAAAAAGAAAATTATAAGCTAGTATCATTTATATGCACAGAGACATGAATGTTATATTAGGTATATTAAATAAGAAAATTCAATGGTGTACTAAACATTCATATACATAATAAAGTAAGATTTAGCCAAGAGATGTAAGTATGGTTCATAGTCAGAAAATACTTTGTTTATTTCACTACATTACTAAAGTAAAAGAAAATCATAGAATTGTGTCAACTGAAGAAAAGCATGTTAGGTCTCTCCAGACATATACATACTAGTATATATGTGTGTACAAGTATATATATGTATAAGTATATGAGGGTGCTTCGAAAAGTTCATAGGAAAATAAAATTGAAAGAGAATATGAATCTTTCCAAGAACTTTTTGCAGTACCCTTATGTATGTATGTATATCTATGCATGCATATATATGCAAATATATATCTGTATTTGCAATTAGAATCCTAGAAAAATTTAGAGAGAAACTTGACAGTTTCAAGTTGTTTTCAGATATAATAAACCAGGAACACTGGAGACAAATTTTTAAAAGAATTGCAAGGAGGTTATTCATACTGTAAAATAATAGCACATTTTGTTCTTGATTAAAGGATTTTAGGCATCTATGAAGTTTGGGGAGCAACTTTGTACCCTTATCAAAGTGTGGATTACAGATTTAGCTATCTCATGAGGTGATATGATTCTCATTATCTCTACAAAGTTATTATTGCAGTTAAGTAATTACTCATGGAAATTTCAATTTAAGCCAAAAATGTATTGACTAAGCACCATCTTCAAGATATTGTGTTGATTACTGAGAGAGAAACAAAGGAAAACACAACATAGTTTTTGTTTTTAAGGAGTTTATAATCTCCTAGGAGAAAATCATTAAGTAGGAGGCCATTCTCTGTACATTTATATACACACAGTAGCCACACTGTACTTTACACCTGACTGATTTGCAAGACTAGTAAGAATGACCTTACTAAGTGGTGACCCCATGTACAGCCTGTCTGACACTTTGTTTTAGCTGTGGCTTGGGTTTTATTAAACCCTAATATGATGTCAAAGGTGTTTATGGAATGAGATAATCAACAAACGTGATATAATGGATAAAATAGAACATTTTATTTCTTAATTCTACCTTTTTTTAGTTTAAGTAAAAGCTAAATAATCAAACACTGTGGAAATTATACACACACACACACACATACACACACACTGACTTTCAGGATAAATATCTTGCTAATTACAAAGTTCAGCTGTCACTTTAACCATGTTTTCTGCTATATTCCTGGCATTTAAGTAGGATTTATTTTTTAAATAATTAAGCTATGTAAGGGGTTGGCAAGCTTTTTCTAAAAGGCCAGATAGTAAATATTTTAGGCATTGCATGCCATAGGGTCTCTATCACAACTATTCAACTCTGCCATTGTAGCATGAAAGCAGCCACTGACAGTCTGTAAATGAATGACTGTGGTGTGTTCCAATAAAACTTTATAGACACTGGAATCTGAATTTCATATATTCACATATTTCATATTATTCTTCTTTTGGCTTTTTTCAATCTAAAAGTGTAAAAACCATTTTTAGCTTCCAGGTCCTACAAAAATAGGTGACAGGCCATTTGGCTTGTGGGTTGTAGTCTGCCAATCCCTGAGTTAAGCAATCAGTTATGTTTTTTTCATATGTCCTTTCAATATTTTAAGACTGATTTACTTTCATAATTAAAATTCTCAAATGTCCTCCTATTTGTAAAAGGAAAAGGAAATGCTTCTTTTTAGCTTTCAGTAACTTCCCTTTTTCTATATTGTAGGTCATTGTTTTGTTTCTATGAATATAAGAACTTTTCTTTTTCTTTATAAACATTATATTATTAAATAATTTTAGGCAATAAACATGGCTAAGATTGCTTACCAAATTAATTTGCAGAGTTTTCTCCCAGTGTTTTTCATTATTCACTCCAGCATTATTGACCAAAATGTCCAATCTTCCAAAGTGGTCTACAACTTTTCTAAAAGTATCTAACAAAAAAAAGACATTATAGATATGTGCTTATTTTCCATATGTACATTTAAATCATATCCTATGCCTTGAAATAAGTTTTTATTCATCTACATTCATAGTGAAAATTACACTCATAAGCTGTGATTTTACTTCTCAATGTGTGCGGTTTGTGGACCAAACAGCACCAATCAGCATTACCTGGGAGCTTGTTAGAAGTGTCGAATTTTGTGGACACCGCAGCCCTACTGAATCACAATCTCAACTTTAATATATACTTAGGTGATTTGTATGCAAATTAAAGTACTAGAAGCAGTAACTTAATGGAGTGAACTTTAGAGAACTAGCATCCTAAGCTACAGCTCTTTGAAGTCAGTTTGGGCAGCCAGCATCTCTGTTCCTAGTTATTGGAGCTCTGTGGTTTAGGCTATGACAAACATCCTTTTTTAATAAGCCGTATTATGTTCATAAAGTGCTATATTAACACAAGTCTTCTTGTGTATTCAGATCCATTGTGATAATTTCAGGGAGTTTTTTATATCCTAGTAAACGTCTACTTTTTATTCAGTGGATTTTATTTGATTACTGAAACTTTGATGTTTACTATTTCATTTTTTTCTCTTTCTCACTATTATTACTATGTCTTATTGTTAGTTTGTATAAAACTATGTTCAACCAGGGTAAAGTCTGCATGGATTCTGAGACCTGAATATCACTCATTACGTTGTCCAACCACATGTCCAGTCCTTGCAAAAATCTCCTGAGCCAGTGCAAACTAAGCTTTACCACCTTAGTTCCGAGAAACTCATTATTTCTCAAAGTAGCCTTTTACATAGTTCTATTGATTTAAACTGTTTCCCTGGGTCTTTTACCATTTGTTCTAGTTCTACTAGTTAAGACTATAAATAACAATTGTGGTTGTTCTTCCATATGGCAGAATATAAGTATTCTCAGATCTCCAGGTAAACACATGAGTTCTCTGAAAAGAGTTGATCAGCACAATCTTTACTTATGTTTTTTTGTTTGTATGTTTTTGTGGGTTTGTTTGGCAGGCTCATACAGGGATTGAACCCCAAGCCTTGGTGTTATCAGCATCACACACCAACCAACTAAGCTAACAGGCCAGCCAAACACAACCTAACTTTGACTGAAACAAATTCATAGAATTATTAACAATCACCAGACATATTGAGGAACACATGGATTAATCAATCCCAAATGGATAAATCACTATGCAAGTTAATCACTAAGAACATTGTCAAGACTTTTTTTTTTTTTTTTTTTTTTTTTTTTTTTTTTTTTTTTTTTTTTT